GCTAGAGTACGCCGGAGAAGTATTGGAAGGAAATAAGAAGGTAGTGAAAGAACTCGAGGCGACGCAGAGCAGCGGAGCGAAAATCATCCTAGGATGCTCCAGGCGCACAAGTAATGCAGCCGTGAGGGCAGAATTGGGGATCCAATCCCTACGGTCGGGAAGAGACGCGAGGAAGCTGACCTGGCAGTATCGCATGTGCGGGATGGGAGAGGAGAGGTTGCCGAGAATTGTATGGGAGGCGAAGTGGGCAAACAAAAAGAGGGGTAGACAACCCACGGAATGGGTCAAGGTTGTAGAGGACGTATGGAAGGGGCTCGACATCGACGAAGATGAATCGCTGGAAACGGAGGGTCTACAAGGGTTCAAGGAGAAGATAGCTGTTGCCTGTGCCGAGAGAGAAGAACATAGTCTAAGGAAAGAAACCGAGGATAAGGAGGGTCTAGACTAGAAGTATACGGAATGTTGAAGGAACAGGGTTCAAAGATTACCTACATGGACCAACGTATGCAGGGACAAAGCTTAAGGTCAAATTCAGGACCGGGGACATGGGCCTTCGAGAACGTCGAAGAAGATAAAGGACGGTAAACGACGAAGACGACAACTTTCAAATGTGATGGCGGCTTCGAATGCGAAGGCCGTGTTCATGTAGTCGCGTAATGTCAGTGGTACAAGAAGGAGAGGGGAGTGAACATGACTGAGCAGGGAAAAAAAGAAGGGACGTACAGGGAGATGTTTGAGGCATGGAGTAGAGAGGAAAGGACGGTAGCTGTACTGGGGAGTAGGAAGTGGTTTGAAATGGCGGGAAGGGATGTCGTTGGGATTGACAGACTAGGGAAGACATTTTTGAGCCACCTTTGGCAAAGTAGAAAGGAACGATTGGCCATCGGTGATCGGTCCTGCGGGAACAATGCTCCGTCCTCTCGAGGACGCGTGGTCAATGGTCTAACCGCTAAGGCATGCAAAACATGAGAGTACGCCCCCCCGCCCCCCCCCCACCCCACCCCTTAAAAACTACCCCCGGTAAGTACACGCCAATGTCTTTTGCCTCCGCCACCATCCCCACCAACAACGTTTCTTCGACTTCCGACAAGAACGCTCTAGCTCGGGCTTGCGAGATACACGCGGTCAAACCCGCGTACGGACATCCGTTGATGCCGTTGAAAAAGATGGGCATCGCGTCCAACACCATGTCCTTGTCAAGCGCCTCCAACAACGCAGCGGCCGTTGATGCCGTTGAAAAAGATAGGCATCGCGTCCACCACCATGTCCTTGTCGAGCGCCTCCAACGACGCAGCGGCGTGCTCGCAAATGGCCCCCGTAGCACTCTGAACGCCAGCGTGGCCCCCGCTGTTTGGGTAACCGATTGCTGATGAAGAAGCATCCTGAGAGACGAACAAGACGAGTAAACATGCGACGACAATTCAGCATCACCTTCGACAAAAGGAATCCCATCTGAAGACAGCCATAATCGGATCGACCAATGCTTCAAGGCGCTTCGACCTGGTGGTTCGTGCACCATTTCGCATGGCTTAACCAACAACAAATAACAGGAAGCGGACGCTGCGCACACCCTGTTTGACATGGCTGACCGGTCACACCCTGTATCTTATGGTTCGCTCACGTGTGGCACTCTAACCTAGAGCAGCTGCTCCGCGGTGAAGGCTTCGGGTTCGCTGTTGGCGCAGGATTCCGTAGCACCGTCGTCATTACCCGGTTTTGGTTTGTAGCGATGCATACCGACAGCGTGCTGTTTTCAGCATTATCCGCTGCAGGCAAGCGAATCACGCTCACGGTACATACCGCGGAGCTCCTCGTCCCCTGACGCCCCCTAATCCGGCGACTCGTCCCCCTTGATACCCGGTTGGCTGGTGGCACTGCCCGTGTTTCCCTTATGCAGCTGGTTAGATGGAACGGTGCAACGGTGACAATTGTAGGCAAGTGGGAGGTCGGATATACTTTCGAGACACACGTTGCGAGCGAGAGGCCTACATAGGCAACGTGTCCCCTGCCCGGGTTCGCGAGGGTTTTGGGGGTCGAACCCACAACATCAATCTTCATCTCTAGGTCGCGGCGAAAACATGACGTAAGAAGGGAAGACCTCAATCTTCATCACTAGGTCGCGGCGAAAACATGACGTAAGAAGGGAAGTCCGACCTACTCGAAAGAAAGAGACGATATATGACAAAAACAAGGAACAAGCTCACCTTTTGCACTCGCACCACGCTTTTGTGGCACTCGCAGCACTTCTGTTGGAGATCCTTGTTGAACCCCTGGTAGCAACGCGCCCTGCACGCCCATGGAGGGCACCTATCCTCCAGGCAGAGTCTTTTCCTGGTTTCCGTATGAAGGCAATCTACCAAACGCGGAGCACAGGCGGTTTAGTGTGGTCCTTGTCCGCGCACGTCTGCCAACTCCTATGCCACCGCTGGCATTAGGGGCACCAACTCCCGTTCCTGGTGAGGGTTGCACACCGCCTCTCCCGCGGCCGCTCGCTCCTGCAGCGGGACCAGCCCCCCCTACTTGACTACCGCTCCGCCCAGGACGTTGGCCGCCGATGCCGGCACCACTACCTCTACCACCGCTTAGAGTGAGCGCAGGTCTGCCGCCTCCTCTGCCGCCGCTGGCGTAAAGGGTACCAACTCCCGTTCCTGGTGAGGGTTGCACACCGCGCCGCACAGCGACTCGGCCGTCGACACCACCCCTCCCGCGGCCGCTCACTGCAGCAGCGGCACCAGCCCCCCCTACTTGGCTACCGCCCCACCCAAGAACGTGACCGCCGACGCTGACGCTGACACCACTGCCTCTACCACCGCTCAGAGCGCTCATAGCAGACCCACTTTCTTGGATACCACCCCCCACAGGACCTGGACCCCAAGCTGCGCAAGATAGAGCAAGTAGCATGTCCTGCTGCATGAGTCCCACACCGCTCGCTGTTGTTCTTGGAGCAGGCAGAGGAGGTGCTGATGTTTCACTGGAAACTGCCTGCTGTACTAAACTGGCAGTGCTAGACAGTTCAGCGCTACGGTGGTTGACCTTCCCTACTTGCATGAGTCCCACACCGCTCGCTGTCGTCCTTGGAGCAGGCAGAGGAGTTGCTGATGCTTCGCTGGATCCTGGCTGCTGTGCTACATTGGCCAGAGTGCTAGACCCAAGTTCGGCGCTACGGTGGTTGACCATCCCTCCTTGCACGAATCCCACACGAGCCACACTAGGCGCTGTTGTTCTTGGGGCAGACAGAGGAGTTGCTGATGCTTCACTGGATACTAGCTACTGCTGTGCTACATTGACAGTGCTAGACACAAGCTCCGCGCTATGGTGGTTTCCATGCATCGGCAGCGTAGAGCACTCCGGTACTCCTGTGTTCGAGCGTAGAGCATGCGAACACAGATACAGTCCCGTGTGCCGTCGGTCTTCAAGGTCGGTGATTGACTGCTAATCCTTTCTATTTTGTAGCCCATACGTTTGAAGTGCCAATTTGTTTGGCTCTGAAGACTCGTTGTGTTGTCTTCACTGAAGACAACAATAACGTCTTCACGTTAGAAACCTTTCCGATCTCTCTCTACCCAGTACCTTCATATGTCCGTACTGATCCAACATTTGACGCGGTCGATTCCCGTCGTCACAGGCTAACTTACCCTAAAAGGTAAACTAAAAGAAAGTGGCCCCCAGGGGTCCGCAAGTCAATAGAAATTAACGACAGATGTTCTGGAGTCCTCCGCTCCCTCTGCGCGCTATGCGAGGTAACAACTGAGGCTAGGAGTCAGCATCACGGGCCAGAGAGAAAGAGGTACACCCCCTTGGTTCAATCTTGGTACTTCACAACGCAAGCAGAGACAAGGCCATCTGGCACAGAAAAAGAGAGAAAAAAGAGAAAAAGAGAAGAAAATAAAAGGAAACAGGAAGGAAAGAGAAAAGAAAACGAAAAGAGCGAGGACACAAAGGGACCAGGCCGAAAATAGCGAGAAATAAGAGACAGAAAGAGGTACAAGGTGGAGAGACCACTAACGAACAAGCAAACACGCAAACAAGGTCACCAACCAGCGATACATTGTAGTGGTACGTCATCGCTAGTGGGGGGTTGGTGCAATGGTGCAGCGTTGGGATGGGGGAATTGGCTAAAAGAAATTCAATCCGTTACGTATCGCGCCACTCGGCCCGTCTCTACTCGTTTGCTTTCTTCCCTCGCCGTCTCGTCCGTCTCCTGCCCCCCTCCCGCCCCATTGATTGTTTGCTTGTGGTCTCGTTTGAGCGCTTGTTGTCGGCTGGCCTCTTCTTGCTTCCTGTGCCAGGAGGTCATGAACCTCTCAGCTCCCTGCAGCACCGCCGCATGCCAGGGTACTCCCCCATCCACCTTCGCGGCTTCCGACCACTTTAACTTCGGTGCCGTGTCTTTCCGTTCCGGGATTCCGAGACAACATGGATCGGTTTTCGTAGATCCGTGGTCGGCCCCGAATGCCTTCAGATCATCGATCACACCCTTCGGTCAGTTCTGTCCCTGTCCTCCCCTACACGTCGCTTCTCCCCCCCCGCCAGTTCGCCGAGCATCAGTCGTTTCGGGAGTCGCCCGTCCGGCTGCCTTGCCAATGCTCCCGCGAAAAGTAGGCGTCGTTGTCGGATTGTGGCTTCAACGCTCTGGGCGGGTTCCGCTGTAAAGCCGAATATTTGGAGGGAGGGGGAAGGGGGTAGGAAGGGCCCACTTTGAACCTCCAATAGTTCAGTAGTGTGTCAGTGGCCCCCTTAGAACACCGGATGCAAATTTTAAGAGCAAACGAGATCTTTCGTGTCCGGGTTTCAATTGCTTTATCCCGGCTCGTTAGGAGAAATTTCGGAAACGCCCGAAAGAGGGGATGGGCCCAAAAACCCCCCACCCCACCTCCCCCCCGGTGTTTGCCATGGGGGATGGGCTTACGTCGCTTGGCAACGACGTTGTAAAACAAGCCAATTCACTTCTTGAACTCGGCAACCAGGTTGCCGCTTTTTTTTTACATCGGTTCTTGGCGGCAACCATAATGGTGGTCGAGTGGATCATGTTGTGCGGGGTGGAAAACCCTCACTCCGCGCAAGGTGGATGATCGCACCACGTTGTGTAAAATTTGTCAAGCACCCTCGAGGCAGTTACACAGTGCTTACAACTGTCTCTGGAAGTGAAAGCA